CATTTTACTATCCTCCATGTGCCTATCCAAGAGTCACTTAAATGTCCTTAATGTATCTGACTCTACTACCACTGCTGGCAGTGCATTCATGCACCCGCCACTCTCTATGTAAAGAACCTACCTCTGACATCTCCCTTTACCTTTCTCCAATCACCTTAAAATTATGCCCCCTCGTGATAGTCATTTCTGCCTTGGGAAAAAGTCTCTGGCTATCCACTCTATCTATGCCTGTCATCATCTTGTACGCCTCTCATCATCTTTTTCACCTCTATCAAGTCACCTCTCATCCTTCTTCGCTCCGATGAAAAAAGCCCTAGCTCCCTCAACTTTTCCTCATAAGACCTACCCTCCAGTCCAGGCGGCATCCTGGTAAATCTCCTCTGTACCCTCTCTAAAGCTTCCACATCTTTCCTATAATGAGGTGACCAGAACTGAACACAATATTCCAAATGTGGTCTAACCAGGGTTTTATTGAGCTGCAGCATAACCTTGTGGCTCTTAAACTCAATCCCCCTGCCAATGAAAGCCAATACACCGCACGCCTTCTTAACAACTCAATCAACTCGGGTGGCAACTTTGAGAACTCTATGGATGTGGACCCCAAGATCCCTCTGTTCCTCCACACTGCCGAGAATCCTGCCATTAACCCTGTATTCTGCATTCAAATTCAACCTTCCAAAATTAATCACTTCACACTTTTCCAGGTTGAATTCCATCTGCCACTTCTTTGCCCAGCTCTGCATCCTGTCAATGTCCCGTTGCAACTTACAGCAGCCCTCCACACTATCCACAACTCCACCGACCTTCCTGTCATCGGCAAACTTACTAACCCACCCTTCCACTTCCTCATCCAAGTCATTTATAAAAATCACAAAACAAAGAGGTCCCAGAACAGATCCCTGTGGAACACCACTGGTCACGGAGCTCCAGGCTGAATACTTGCCATCTACTACCACCCTCTGTCTTCTGTTGTACAGCCAGTTCTGTATCCAGACAGCCATATTTCCCTGAATCCCATGCCTCCTTACTTTCTGAATGAGCCTACCATGGGGAACCTTATCAAATGCGTTGCTAAAATCCATATACACCACATCCACTGCTCTACCTTCATCCATGTGTTTTGTCACATCCTCAAAGAATTCATTGAGGGTTGTGAGGCATGACCTGCTCCTCACAAAGCCATGCTGCTATTTCTAATCAAACTGCGCTTTTCCAAATAATCATAAATACTATCTCTCAGAATCCTTTCCAATAATCATTGGAGACGCAAAATAATTATTCAGTTCCTCAGCCATTTCCTTGTTCCCCACTACTATCCAGCGTCATTTTCCAGGGGTCCAAATTCCAGTTTTGCCTCTCTTTTGCTGTCTATGTATCTAAATAAATTCTTACAGTCCCCCTTTATATTACTGGCTAGCTAACCCTCATATTTAATCTTCTTCCTTCTTATTTCTTTATTTGTTGCCCTCTGTTGGTCTTTGTAAGCTTCCCAATCCTCTGGTTTCCTACTGCCCTTTGTTACATTATATGCTTTCTCTTTTGTTTTTATGCTATCCCTGGCTTCCTTAGTCAACCACGGCTGCCTCATCCTCCCTGCTTCTTTTCCCTAGGGATGAATTTTTGTTGTGTCTCCTTTCAGTTATTGTCATTGCGCTTGGTCTCCACGTTACAGAATGTCTTAAGAATGTGCAAAGAAGATTAACAAGGTTGATGACATAACTAAGAGCATGTACTTCTCAAGGAAGGCTGAAGAAGCTGGGACTCCTTTATCTAGAACTGAGTAGGCTGGGAGTTGACATGGGTAGATATGATGTTAATTTCAGGAGAAACCTCTTTATCCAGAGAGTGGTACAAATGTGGAAGTCACTACCATAAGTAGAGTTTGAGTTGAATAATATTGATGCTTTTAAAGGCAAACTAGTTAAGTACATGAGGGAGAGAGAAATAGAAGAACATGTATAGGATTAGTATTGGAAGGCTGATAATCTCACGTTAACATCTGCATGGAATGGTTTGGCCCAGCTTTTATTTGTGTAAGTCTAAAGTGTAAGAGAGATCACATGGAGAAGAAGGAAAAGCAGTAATGTTCTCCGATAATATACCTTTCAGAGCTTATTGAAATTGAGTTTATAACAAACAATCTTGATTTCTAAAAGTCAAATTTTTGTGTTTTAAGTTTGATTAAGTTTCATGTGATCCATGGTAAGTTGGCAAATTGGATACAAAATTGGTTTGGCCATAGAAGACAGAGGGTAGTTGTGGAGAGGTGTTTTCCTGACTGGAGAACTGTGACCAGGGGTGGTGTTCCACAAGGACCAATACTGGGACCGTTGTAATTTACAATATACATAAATAATTTATGTGAACATGTGGGTGGTCTGATTTGTAAATTTGCAGACAACACAAAAGTTGGTAGAATTGTGGATAGTCAGGAAGATTATCAAAGAATATAGATCAGTTGGAAAGTTAGGCAGAGAAATGGCAGATGGAGTTTAATCCAGACAAGTGTGAAGTGACGCATTTTGGGAGGTCAAATGCAAAAGCAAAGTATATAGTAAATGTCAGGACCCTTAGGAGCATTGATATACAAAGGGATCGTGGGGTGGAAGTCCATTGCTCCCTGAAAGTGGCAACACAAGTGGATAAGGTGGTAAAGTAGGCGTATGGCATGCTTGCCTTCATTGGTCAGGGCATGGAGTATAAAAGTTGGTAAGTCATGTTGCAGCTATATAAGACTTTAGTCAGGCCATGTTTGGAATATTGTGTGCAGTTCTGGTTGACACACTAAAGGAAGGATGTGGCGTCTTTGGAGGGGGTGCAAAAGAGGTTTACCAGGATATTGCCTGGATTAGAGTGCATTAGCTATAAGAAAAGGTTGGACAAAGTTGGATTGTTTTCACTAGAGTGTCAGAGGCTGGAGGGTGACTTAATAGAAGTATATAAAATTGTGAGAGGCATGGACAGGGTGGATAGTCAGAGTCTTTTTTCCCGGGATGGAAATGTCAAATGGTCAGGGCCTAGGTTTAGGGTGAGAGGGAGAACGTTTAAAGGAGATGTGCAAGGGAAGTTTTTTTACGCAGAGGGTGGTAGGTGTCTGGAATGCACTGCTGGGAGAGGTGGTGGAAGCACATACGATAATGATGTTTAAGAGGCATTTAGACAGACACATGAACAGGCAGGGAATAGGGGGATATGGACTGTATGCAGACAGATGAGATTAGTTTAGTATGGCATCATGGTCAGCACAGGCATGGTGCACTGAATGACCTGTTCCTTTGCTCTACTGCTCTGTGTTGCGCTGGTGAATTTAATATTGATTGCCATCCAGTGGAAATTCTGCTTTATTATGTTTGGCTCGTGCACAAACACCTACTGACGACAATCCCATTTTGCAGTGGTGCTGGATCAGCATCCCTGCTGTTCATAATGCTTTGTGTCGTCACTCACCCGTGTGAGAGCCTACAGAACACTTGCTGATAATGTCACATCATAGAGCAGTGTGTATCTGTGCAGAGCAGGTAGATCCCAAAATCAACTGGCATCAAGCAGTCAGTTTGGACTGGCATCAAGCAGTCATTTCCACAGCGGTCCCCGTAGCCAGGGCAAGGGATTTAGGTAGGAGACAGAAGGGAGCTAGGATTCCTATTGGTAATGCCTGTAGCAGCCATATGCGCATATGTCAGGATTTAGCTCTTTGCTGTCTCCCATTCCCCTTCTATTCCAACCAGAGACAACTGTGCAACCTAGCACACAAAGAATAGGGTGCTGGAGAGCCAGTACTAAGTGTTGGTGTCATATGAGCATGGAATTAGGAGCTGAAGTAGGCCACTCGGCGTCCTTGAGCGTCCTCCACCATTCAGTAAGATCACAGCTGGTTTGATTCGTCACCATTTGCACAAGGCTCCCTGTTGTACAAGAGACAGGCAATACCCAATACTTGCATCCTGAAAATAAGTTTAGTGGTGGGACTACCAAAGTAACCTTCCCTTCCTCAAAGAAGCTGCTTCAGTCTCTCATTACCCTGTCTCTTTAGTATAGTTCTCTAAGATTACATAGATGATAGGAGCAGGAAGAGGCCATTCATCCCTTCGAGCCTGCTCCGCCATTCTTCACGATCATGACTGATCGTCCAACTCAATAACCTAATCCTGCTTTCTCCCCATAACCTTTGATCCCATTTGCCCCAAGTGCTATATCTAGCCGCCTCTTGAATACATTCAATGTCTTGGCATCAACTACTTCCTGTGGTAATGAATTCCACAGGCTCACCACTCTTTGGGTGAAGAAATATCTCCTCATCTCCGTCCTAAATAGTCTACCCGGAATCCTCATACTCCGACCCCTGGTTCTGGACACACCCACCATTGGGAATATCCTCCCTGCATCTACCCTGTCCAGTCCTGTTAGAATTTTATAAGTCTCTATGAGATCCCCCCTCATTCATCTGAACTCCAGCGAAAACAATCCCAACCTAGTCAATCTCTCCTCATACGTCAGACCCGCTATCCCCGGAATCAGCCTGGTAAACCTTCACTGCACTCCCTCAAGAGCAAGAACATCCTTCATCAGAAAAGGAGACCAAAATTGCACACAGTATTCCAGGTGTGGTCTCACCAAGGCCCTGTATAACTGCAACAACACATCCCTGCTCCTGTACGTGAAACCTCTCGCAATGAAGGCCAACATACCATTTACCTTCTTTACCGCCTGCTGCACCTGCATGCTTACCTTCAGCAACTGGTGCACAAGGACACCCACGTCCCACTGCACACTCCCCTCTCCCAATTTATAGCCATTCAGGTAGTAATCTGCCTTCTTGTTTTTGCTTCCAAAGTGAATAACCTCACATTTATCCAAATTATACTGTATCTGCCATTGATATGCCCACTCACCCAACCTGTCCAGATCATGCTGAAGGATCTCTGTATCCTCGTCATAGTTCACACCCCTACTCAACTTGGTATCATCTGCAAACTTGGAGATGTTACATTTTGTTCCCTTATCCAAATCATTAATATATATTGTGAAAGATGTATTACATCTTTCCAAATGTTGTGTGAGGGTTCCTGACCAGCATTATTTTGATAAAATGAGATATGACCATCAGGCCCAATCTTGCAAGCAATATAACTGTAATCGGCAGAAGGAAGCAGTGAAATGGTGGGAATGTCACTGGCCTAGTAATCCAGAGGCACAGGCTCGTGTCCTAGCACATAGGTTCAAATCCCACTATGGCTGCTGGTGAATTTCAAATTCAATAAAAATCTGTAATAAAAAGCACGTCTGATAGCCACTGCCGTTGATTGTCATAAAAACCCATGTGGAACACCAATTCCCTTTAGTGAAGGAAATCTGCTGTCCTTACCTGGTCTGGCCTACATGTCACCATATACCACAGCAATGCGACTGACTCTTTACTGCCCTCTGAAAAAGCCTAGAGAGCCACTCAGTTCAAGGACAACTAAGAATAGACAACAAATGCTGACTTCCTGTACAAGAATAAAGAAAAAAATAATTACTCTGCCCTTCTTCACTTCAACACACACTTACCGTAATGCAGTCTTCACATGAACAGTGGTTTATTCCTTCCTTTAAGCTGAAAGACTGTCTAATGTTTATTTGTTCCCCTTGAATCGATTAGAAGCTGGGACAGAAGCTACAGGTCATACCGATCGTACAGTAGGAGTGATCGGAGTTACTCTCGCCATCGGAGCCACAGCGAGAGCAGCAGGTATAGCTGATGGACACAACTCTGCCTGGGTTGCCCTCATTCTTGCGAAATGCCTTCCTTCTTTCCCTGCACAGATTCAGAACTATTTATTGATGACTGATGCATTCAAGCCGTTTCTTTAAGCGTTGGGGACAAAGACTGCAATGAAGCAACTATGTGCAAGGGTATCACAGCAGTTAGTGGGAGGGAGGGTTCGTTTTGATTTTTCTGTTTTTCTTCTTTTTGCAAAAGAAATGTATTAAACTCTTAGCGGTTCTTGCTGAGAAGAAATGTATTTGTATCTGCAGTTTTGTATGTAAGCAATAATATTTACCTTTAATATGTACTGTACTTAACTGCGTTATCCTGTCATAGTTTAAAGTGGAAGAAAAGTAAATTTTCATACATTCTACTTGGTCTTGGTTCATTTTTGGCTTCATCTTTGTCTAAAGGATTCATATTGAATGAATTAAAATGTATCTTTTAAAAGAACATGTTGAAATGATTGAAGTATGTCCAGGTAATAATTGCTGTGTGATTGTTATCTGACACAATCACATCACTTTCAACACACAGAGAGAGCATTGTGGACCTACTGATGGAATAATCTGCTCAAATTGCCAACTGCAACCAATGCAGAAACTCAGGGTCAGTTATTCCCAATGTCCTAACCTGGCCTTACCCCTTAATCAACACCACCAAAGCAGATTAATTCATCCTCACCATATTATTTGAGGGAGCTAGCTATAGTTTTCTACTTAGTTTCCAACTCTGACAGTGACCACTTCAAACATGGTCAAAGTTAGCTGTAAAGTGCTTTCAGAGGCCCAATACTTTGTGCAAAATGCAGGCCTTCTCATCACTGGTCAGGGGATCTTGCTCTGCAGAAATTGGCTGCTATATTTCCTAGAATATAGCAGTGACCACATTTCAAACTGTACTTCTGTGGTTCTGAAGCACTTTGGGTCACCCTGAGTTTGTAAAAGGCAGTCTGTAAGGTGCACATTTTTCTTTACTGACTCTATTAATTTACTAGCTTAATCGACTGTGGCTATCAAAAGAATCTGGAGGATTGTGAACAGTTTTGGGCCCCATATTTAAGTAAAAATATTTAATTGGAGGCAGTTCAGAGAAGGTGCACTAGAATGATCCCTGGTATGGAGGTCTTATGAGCAGAAGTTAAAACAGGTTGGAACTCCCCACAGTCCAGAGATGTGCAGGCTTAGGTGGAATAGCCATGGAAAATGCAGGGTTACAGGCATAAGTGGGGGGGAAGGGTTTGGGTCTGGATGGGATGCTGTTCTGAGGCCAGTGTGGACTCAATGGGCTAAATCACCTGCTTCCACACTATGACTCTACTCATTAGAGGAGTTTAGAAGAATGAAAGGTGATCTCATTGAAATATATAAATTTCTTAAGGGGCTTGACCGGGTAAATGCTGAGAGGATGTTTCCCCTCATGGAAGAGTCCAGGACGAGTGGGTATAGACTAAGGAGAAAGAGGCACCAATTTAAGACTGAGATGAGCGGGAATTTCTCTCAATTGGTAATGCGTCTTTGGCAGTCCTTGCCACAAGAGAGGTGTGGGTCAGAATCCTTGTGTATATTTAAGGCTAAGATAGAAAAGTAAGGAATCAAGGGTCATAGGGAAAGAGCAGGAAAGTGCATGTGAGGAATGTTGGATCAGCCATTATCTTATTGAAAGGCAGAGTGGGCTCAAAGAGCCTGAATGGCCTTCTATTTCTCACAGCCCTAAATTTTTTTTTAGGGAGAATTATTCGGCCCTGCGTGCCTGAGATCCAAGAATAAGTTGTGGCAAGTCTTCATCAGAGAGCTGTTCTCTTGCCAGTGCTGCTGTGGTGTTCCACACTGAGGAACTCCTGCTGCAGCATAGAATGTCTCTCCTGTAATGTGAATGGTTTGACCAGCATTAGGAAGACAAATGTCCATATGTTGCCATACAGCCATCTCAACATTTTTTAAATTCATGGCGTGCGTGTGTCACTGGGAAGACCAGTCTTTGTTGCCCGTCCCTAATTGCCCTGGAGGATTGAAAGTGTGATGCTGGATATTGTTAACAGTATCACAAAATCTCAGTCCCTCAATCACCAGCAATTTGTCACTTGATGCCAAAATCAACATGCGCCGTAAAACCGTAGCTAGTTCCAATGAAGCTGAGTAAGAGAAGATTGAAGCCTGACTGAGAACACCAAACTGAGAGTCTGCCAAGTCTGTTCCCCCAGTGCACTCCCCTACAGCGATCAGAATTACAAATTGTTACAGTACAGAAAGAGGTCGTTCAGCCAATGTGCCTGTGATAGCTCTTCACACAAACATCCCTACCTAGTGCCAAGTCTCCTGCCTTTTCCCCATACCCTTACCCACTATTTCTATCCAAATAAGCATCCAGTGTCCTTGGGTGCCCCAGTTGAACCTATGGTGACCACGTGCAGGCAGTGCATTCCGACCCTATCTACGCTCTGGGTGGAAAAGTTTCTTTTCCCCTCATACCACTCTTACTTCTTTTGCGCGGCACTGTAAATCTGTTTTTTCCCTTGTTCCCTTTCATGAAAACTGGTAAGCATTGAAAATGCTTCGTTGCAGAAAACTGGACGTTATAGTCTAGGCAGGGGGAAAAGCTGAGCCGTTTTCCACCTTTGCATTCTCAGACATCCTTGGCGTCTCTTGGGAGGACAAGATCACCAACTCGGAGGTTCTGAAGCATGCTGATTCGTTAACACACTCTCTGCTGACTCAACGATGACTGTACTGGATCAGCCACGTTTATCAGATGATAGATATTTGCAGGCAAAGACCTTGCGTACTTTAGAAGCCAATTGGTCATGAACTGCTGGTTATTAAGATAATCAAGGTAGTTCATTGTCCCTAGTATAATTATTTATCCCTCTAAATAAGCCCAAAGCACACATACGCACCTGAACAGAGTCTCTATCAAGGAAACTAAAACTGATTTCTGTCCAGGATGTCTGCAGAAAAGCAAGCAATCATGTAATTTCTCGTTAAAAAGTCTGCAGTGACATTTCAATGTCCCCTTTTAAAGAAACTATGCCAGGTATGCCCACAACACCCAGAATAAATCCACTTGTCCACAATCCTTCAAAACTTAAGTCTTCAAAGAAATATTAAGCATGCAGCATCCTTGTAACAATGTCTACACCACTACTACAAAGAGACTTGCAGTGTGATATGATAACTAAAACCAAACACTGGCGACTGACTTGGCAAGAAGTCGGAAGAGGCAAATGGAAATGAAAAGCTCAGCTGGCTGAGAAGGAGGGGGTTGGGTGGGGTAGATGGGCAAAGAATATACCATATCATGAACCTACTCAGCCCACTACTTAGCCCTGCAACAAAATACAGTCAGCAGCAGAGACTGCCATACCAAAACCTGAACCTCGCCAGGCCATGCTTAAAATAAGAGTTGACCACTACAATGCAACCCTCCTATTACAAACTTGAAGGCTAGCACTGATATTGGTCAACATTGCTCTAGTGACCAGTTGCAGCTATGAAATTGCTGCAGATTTTGGTAGATAATTGATTTGATTTATTATTGTCATGTACCTAGGTACAGTGAAAAGTTTTGTTTTGCATGCAGTACAAGCAGATCATACCATACAAAGTGCATTAGGGTAATAGAACAGTGTGTGGAATACAATGTTATGGCTGCAGAGAAGGCTGCAGATAAAGAGCAAGATCAACATTAAATTTAAAATTTGAGAGATCCATTCAGAAGTCTGTAAGAGCAAGAAAAAAGCTGATCTTGAATCTGTTGGTATTTATGTATAAGCTTTAGTATCTTCTGTCTGATGGAAAAGATTGGAAGTGATTATAACCGGGGTGTAAGGGGTCTTTGATGATGTTGGCTGGCTCTCCGAGGCAATGAGAAGTGTAGATGGAGTCAATGGATGGAAGATTGGCTTACATGATGGACTGGGCTGTGTTCACAATTCTCTGTAGTTCCTTACAGCCCTGGACTGAGCAGTTACCATACAAAGCTGTGATGCATCCAGGTGGAACAAGAGGTTTGTGCATATTGTAATAGTTACGGCACTGATCTGTATCCTAGAGTTTTACAGTCAATGTTTTAGTTTTAAAGACTCTTCATTTACTGAGATACTTGTATCATTGATAGTCACAGGTGAATTGCCAGAAGACTGGAGGTTGGCTAACGTGGTGCCATTACTTAAGAAAGGTGGTAAGGAAAAGACAGGGAACTATAGACCAGTGAGCCGGACATTAGTGGTGGACAAGTTGTTGGAGGGGATTTTGAGGGACAGGATTTACGTGCATTTGGAAAGGCAAGGACTGATTAGGGATTGTCAACATGGCTTTGTGCATGGGAAATCATGTCTCACTAACTTGATTGAGTTTTTTGACAAAGTGATGAAGAGGATTGACGAAGGCAGAGCAGTGGACATGATCTATATGGATTTGACAAGGTTCCATATGGTAGACTGATTATCAAGGTCAGATCACATGGAATACAGGGAGAACTAGCCATTTGGATACAGAACTGGCTTGGAGGTAGGAGACAGAGGGTGGTGGTGGAGGGTTGCTTTTCAGACTGGAGGCCTGTGACCAGTGGTTGCCATAAGGATCAGTGCTGGGTCCATTGCTTCTTGTCATTTTATATAAATGATTTGAATATGAATAAAGGAGTTTCAGTTACTATGCTTGCAGGTGACACCAAAATTGGTGGTGTAGTGGGCAGCAAAGAAGATTACCTCAGACTACAACGGGATCTTTATCCGATGGGCCAAAGATTGGCAGATGGAGTTTAATTTAGATAAATGTGAGGTGCTGCATTTTGGAAAGGCAGATCAGGTCAGGACTTATACATTTAATGGTAAGGTCCTAGGGAGTGTTTCTGAACAAAGAGACCTTGAAGTGCAGGTTCATAGTTCCTCGAAAGTGGAGTTGCAGGCAGACAGGGCAGTGAAGAAGGTGTTTGATATGCTTGCTTTATTGGTATTGAGTGCATTGAGTATAAGAGTTGGGAAGTCATGTTGCGGCTGTACAGGATATTGGTTAGGCCACTTTTGGAATACTGTGTTCAGTTCTGGTCTCCCAGCTATGGGAAAGATGCTGTGAAACTTGAAAGGGTTTAGAAAAGATTTGCAAAGATTTTGCCAGGATTGGAAGGTTTGAGCTATAGGGAGAGGCTGAATAGGCTGGGGCTATTTTCCCTGGCGCATCAGAGGCTTAGTGGTGACCTTATAGAAGTTTACAAAATCGTGAGGGGCATGGATAGGGTCAATAGTCAAGGTCTTTTCCCCAGGGTAGGGGAGTCCAAACTAGAGGGCATTGGTTTAAGGTGAGAGGGAAAAGATATAAAAGGGACCCAAGGGGCAACTTTTTCACGCAGAGGGTGGTGTGTGTCTGGAACAAGCTGCCAGAGGAAGTGGTGGAAGCTGGTACAATTACAACATTCAAAAGACATTTGGATAGGTACACGAATAGGAAGGG